ACGTATAATTTTACTCTACTTACCTCAACAATAAGATCGTAAACATGAAATCCAGTCTTTTCTATATCCAATAGACAAGGTGTAACTAAGTGTATAAGATGTGCAGCAATGTCAAACGTATTGAAATTTGTGGTATTACTTTCCTGATGCATAGAAGTTAAGTTTTTTTCCGAACAACTAAACCTTTCTGACTGGAGATCACTTGTTAACAGATCAACAGACTTGAGAGTTATACAACGATAAGAAGAGAATCAAACAAACAAATTAAAACAATAATGCATGCAACAGAGTTCAGTATACAGAAAATGATTAACTTGCCGTTTTAAAGCTTCGCGAGGATGCACGTTGAGTTGAATACACACGGTTTTTACACACTTATCAAAAGTGTTGTTTATTTGATAAGGTATAAGCATTTATTGAGAAAAACAAAGACTTCTATGAAAGTAAGTTTAAAAAGCTGTACTTTGATACGATAAGAATTCTGTAACATCACACATAAATTAATTTTTACTGATGTTATTCGGTGGTAGGTCCATTGATAATGATATTCGATTAATTAAGGTTAAATTATTAAGCTATTTTGATCAATCCCATTTTAGACATTGAATATATTAAAGTACATTGGTACACGAAAAATTCATGATTAATTCATTTATTTGTGCAAATAAATAGCCTTTAAAAATAGATGATGAAGTAAAGGTCGATATTCACAAACCATGAGCTCAAAATCAGGCACGTTATTTAAAAAAAGTACTTATATATTCTAATTGTGAAAGTTTAATGTCAACTGTTAAAATACGAATGCAAATATATACTTCGGATATTTAGCTGCCGCATAAAAGCTGCTTACATTGAGATAACTGAAATTTGCTTACTTACTTCGCTGGTATCTGATAATGATTAACCACTATTTGATAAGCTAATGTTAGGTTTACCTTTTATTTGTAAGGGTTTGAATCTTCCACTTGTTAAGGATAAGAGCTGAACTTCGGTCAGTCTCTTTCGGCATATGTATATGTGCACCCTGGACGGATTGCCTTGATATTGCTAAGAAGTGATAAAACTGGGTAGTAGCTAGCAGTGGAACACTAGATGTGCCTTTCTTGCCAATTGGTACCTATAAACAGATACTGATCAAAATGCAGTCTATAACATCAAAAACGGGAAGATTCATGGCCTTACAGATAAATGATAAACATTTGTTCGATCATTCTGTAAACTTGAGTTATTTGATTCCACCTTTCTTCAAAACAATATATTTTTGTTCTGGCAGTTACACTGCTTAAACAGATTGAGGCTAATAATACATTTATTTAAATTTGCTTAAACTGTACTTTTGTTGCATTTACATGCATACAGGAAATAAAAAATACTTTGATAACATTGAACATCAAATGTGTGTAACGATTATCAAAATAAAGGTTAGTTCGACTACATGAATTAAATAAACACGGAATCTGCTAGTCACATGCAAGGAGTGTAATCGTTGTACACTAATTGTATAGGGTGATAGTGGAAAATTCAAATCACTTGTGATTGGTGTGAACATATGAAAAAGTTAATTAAACAAAAAGCGTCTATTGTACGAGCAACTAGTAGTCTTCAAAAGAAATAAGAGAACTCAGTTTGAATGTTTAGTGATTATTCAGTTTACTAACAACATATATGTGCTTTATTCCAAATTCCACAGATTGTCCAAAAGCAAAGGAAATTGCAGAAAACACCATGAATAAACGCTGGCCTTTGGAAAATATTAAAAAAAACCTTGTAAAAAACTGGTTGTGTTTATTTTATCCTAAATGGGAAATTAACTTATTAATAATGTAATTACTTTTTTAACAAGAGCATCAAATTTTCACTAATTCGTAAAACCCCACTAATATCCTTGTCTTTTTTGAACAAATTAGCCTTCGAAGCAAGGATTTTTTGTTTTTTCCAGTCGTATGTCTTTTACTCGAAGTTAAAGAGTGTAAAACTTCTAGGAAAAGGAACTAAGAAGTCAGTTTAAAAGTGATAGCGTAAAAGATTTATAACAGAATTGCTGATACCTAGATGTGGTAGTCGGGCTCACTATCGTGATGAACCAATCGAGCTATACTGGCTCGAAAAATCGTTCCTCTAGGTCCGACCATGCATTGTCAGGCAGGTCGGTTGAAGAGCGCTAAGACTAAACGCAGCAAAAACAAGGTCTGAAGGCGAAGTCGTACTGCTGACTGTACAGAGGTGAGACGGCAGTAAGGTGTTTCCTTCAGACAACCAACACAACAACGACGCTGCCTTCCCACAAGGAGGGGTGGGGTTAGAAAAGGTTGACCCCGAAAATGCACACCTCACCTTATCTCACGGATTTCCGTCTCCGGCGGTAAGGTCCCAACGAGTACGGAGTTAACATGAAAATTACTCACAAAACGTCCGTGTGTGACCGACCTCAAGCAGTTGTCCCTTGGGCACTGGGGTTATGTCCTCAGGTCACTAGGATCAACTCTAACCCAATTTCATTTTCAAGTACCTCTAGAAGAAACCTTCCACGGTGTGGGCAACCGGGAAGTAATAAACGCCCTCATACCTCTAACAGCATTCAAGATCAATCTCCCTCCTTAATTCATATTATTCCTCCTACACAGACTTTTAACACTAAACTTCCTCTTTCCGCATCCTCCTCAAGTGTCACCATAGCCAACGATTCTAGTGAGCTAAACACTGTCTCATGTCTACTGAAACATCACTCTAAACTACACATTGGAGCCTTCAACTTACGTACACTATGTCAAATCGGCTAGCCGGCCTCAATGGCTAAAACCCTAGAATTTCGTTCCATTAATGTATGTTGTATTGTGGTGTGATCTACTTATATCCATATAAGTAGTATATGGTGTGGGTCAGACATAGAATGTATTTTGGCAGAGGACCGATGAGGAAAGAACTGAAATGAAGCGCAATCGTTTGGAAAATGCATGAACAATGGAATTATTGAAGAAACAGTGAAGATTGAAACAATTGATTGTTAATTTGCAAATTGACTGTTCATTCTTTGGTAATCAGAATTTACTGAGATAGTCTGTAATCTTTGCTTAAATACATTCGATTGTCCCCAGTCGTGTTCTGTTCACTACATTTGGTGTCGCTGCCAACCAGGAGGAGGAAGGGTGCTGTTCTGCGGACGCCGCTGCGGGTCTGGAGTGGAGGTGCTAGTTGGGGCAGTCTCGTGCAGAGAGTTGGCGTCGAGTGGAGTGTTCTGGCGGGAGGCGTTGGCTGTGGCAGGTGCTGTCGACGGAGAGAAGCAGTGGGACGTGCGGCTGCTGGGCGGACATCGGATGTAGATGGCTCAGCAGGCCGGTGGAGTACGGGTGTTGAACGTCCCAGGTGCCGGGTGGATGCGGATGTTGGTGCCCCGGCAGGTCGACGGAGCTATGGAGTTCAGCGCGCCGCAGACTCGACATTCTGACGGAGAGTTTGGCACAGACTGCAGTGGAAGAAGATAGTGGCACGGCGAGCAGAACCACCGCATGAACGAATGCTTTAAAGGGGGGACGAGTGTGGTGTGATCTACTTATATCCATATAAGTAGTATATGGTGTGGGTCAGACATAGAATGTATTTTGGCAGAGGACCGATGAGGAAAGAACTGAAATGAAGCGCAATCGTTTGGAAAATGCATGAACAATGGAATTATTGAAGAAACAGTGAAGATTGAAACAATTGATTGTTAATTTGCAAATTGACTGTTCATTCTTTGGTAATCAGAATTTACTGAGATAGTCTGTAATCTTTGCTTAAATACATTCGATTGTCCCCAGTCGTGTTCTGTTCACTACAGTATCTCCAAAACACGCATACAGGATCCAATTGTGGTCGATCACTTGACCTCACCTCGTCAAAACGGAGAGCCGATGAGATACACCCTCCATGTATCTGACGGTCCAATGGTTATTTTTCGTGCACTGGCAGGTGTAGGCATAGTACTAAATACGAGGGCAAAACAAGCACTATTAGATTGGATTTCGTTAGCAGTCGCCTGTGTGCTGTCCGGCTAAATGGCTCCGTAAGAACTCGGAAGGATAGGGACACACGTCGTTGCCTTTTCGTCGTTTCTGCCTACGCTTCCAGTGGCTGCACCCCGGTTGAAATAAAAGATGACTTTTATAGAAGGCTCTCTGAACTTCTTCATAAAGCTAAACGCTCAGACATACTACTTGTAGCAGGTGACTTTAATGTCCAAGTAGGAAGCTTAAACCAAAGACAAAAACATTTACATGGGTATATAGTATCCCGGTTCACCGAACAGATAACGGTGATCGTCTGTTGCAACTATGCTCAGACAATTGTTTATTTTTAGCAAGCACTAATTTTAAATATAAGGAGAGACATTGTCTAACACAGCGACCCTCTGCACCAAACCAGCGATGGACTGAAGTAGACCATATTGCCATCAGTCACCGTTGAAGAGCCTCGATAGAAGACAGTCGCTCATTCTGTAATATATGTTTAGACTCTGATCATGCTTTAATACGAGAACGCATTTGATTAAGCCTTATTGGACGCAGAAAAACTACACTAAGAAGACTCATTAGAATTGAACTCAGTGACGAGGAAGCCAAAAGTATATTCCAGGAACAACTGCGGTAACACTTACGAAAACGAGGTGGATCCAGATGTTTCATTCTCTTTGTATTTCTAGACATTAACTTTGTGATGTTTTCACAAGCCCCACCTCTGAAAAATTGTAAGTAGTATGCGGAAAATAAATCACACACACCGAATGTCAAGGTTTCTGTATATTCGGTAGAGTGAACAGATTCTGTTGACAATTCTCTCACTTCTTCAAATGCTTCGGTTTTTATTGAAATAATTCGATGTTCGTTTAAGTGTGTCCCACCAAGCAGTTGTGGTATGGGGTTGAGTGACGAACATTAACTTTATATAATTATCTGAGTGCATAAGGTTTTGTGTATACCAAACACTTGAAATTTCATTCTTTGTCTTTCTTGACATTAACTTTGTGATGTTTTCACAAGCCCCACCATTAATTTCGATAATATGTATGGAATTTTGCAAACAAAGAGCATAGCTTTATCCGTATATACTTATAGTTACTATACACTATAGGTTGACATATTTCTCATGTAAATCGTGTTGCATGTGAAAAGGATGGTTTGTACTATTTTATGACAACTTGAGTCTAGAAGTGTCCTTATCCCACGTGTCGATAAGGAATACTTCTCTAAGATTCTCGAAAACCTGGTAACAGTGATGCGTGCAGTGTTGCTTTGCTAAATGTCCCAACCTGGTTACACGGTCAAATTCCGCTGATCGGAATACAAAAAGTCGAAGTATTAGGTTCACGCATAAGTCAAAGTGGAGTTAGCTTAAATTTTCAGGATCTTTTTTCCACAAATGAAAAGTTTCTTCAGAGTGACTATAGTTGGCCTATAGTTGTCTGAGTTTCATTACGATAAGAAGTTCACCGGATATGTATAACTCAAGTTTCATAAAAAGTCCACTCTGTTATTGTCTGAAACATTCTTCACTTGTTTTTAGGCAACTAGTATAATAAAGCTAAGTGTATGGTCGCTAACGTAAGGATAGGGAGTGGAGGAGTCGAACACGTCGACAACTTCGCTTATCTTGGAAGTCTGATCAGCCCTAATGGGTTGGTGTCTGACGAAATCTCTGCACCAATTCAAAAAGCTCGTTTGACTTTTACCAACAGACGTCACCTATGGTGAAGGCAATATATCCGTCTATCAATTTAAGAACGACTATATTGTGCGGTAGTTCGTTCTGATCTACTTTACGGTTGCGAAACGTGACCGTTAAGAGTAGAAGATACTCATAAATCACTAGTATTTGACCACATGTCTTAGAAATATTGCTCGCATATGCTGGGATCACCGGGTAAGTGATAGTGAGGTTAGACACAGGATATTAGAGAATGATGGTAAGTGAGTTGGTCAGGTTAAGAATCTCCACCGACTGAGATGGTTGGGCCACGTGTGACGTATGCCTGAACACAGATTACCACGACGTGCTATGCTGACTAGTTTTGGGGATGATTGGAAGGAAGTTAGGGACGATCAAACCAAAACGTGGTATTAGTCCGTAAAGTCACTAGCTTCTGGTCTTAGCCATGTTAGTAGATGCAGACTACCTGGTTGGGGTCCGCGTGATTATCGTAACCAATGGTTGGAGACTCTGGGTGACATGGCTCAGAATCGATCACAATGGCGTCGGTGTATACATTCTCTGTTGTCCCACAAACTGTGAGACTAAAATTACTTTATACCTTTCTTTCTGCGAACTAATTCTTTCTTCCTGTATTATATCCTTATACACAATTTTTGTTTTATACATTAATATCACTGAAGTAACTACTTCTATGAATTCGGTGTTTATCAAGTTGTGCTAATGAGGTGTGACATCTTGGACCGATGCATATATGTGCCTGGTTTTACGTTTTAGCTGACCGACTGACTACACTTACATATTTTCAGTAATAGTAGCTTTTGAAAAGGTGTTCTTATGAATGAGGCATATGAAATAAAGTTTGTGTTTAATAATAAGGGTAGGGTTATTATAAAAAATATGAACTCACTTGATTCGAAACGATCAACTTAGTATTTGCAAATTGACAAGTTGAATAGGGTAGAATAGGTTTCACAGCAATAGCTATATCGCTTTGTTGAAACAATACATAGTTAATTAATGAATAGCAGCTCCCAATTAAGCAAACTGTATCGCCATACTCTTTCATTATTTGAATCATTTCACTGACAGCTTTTCAAAAAGTATATAAAGAAAAAGAACGTTATTGAGATGTTATGTGGGATAAATGATTTATGATTTATAAAAGATTTCAGAAGTATTCAACTGATTTATAAACAGTTCAACAGTTTTGGTAAGGTTTGATAAGTCACTGTTTTTGACTTAATGAATCGAAAACAGGAATAAGTGTTAATAAAGCAGAGATAGGATACTCTGATACGTGAGTGTTAAAGCTAGTAAAGTGTAGAAGACGTTTTCAGCATACGTCTTGATTCTGAATGTTAAATGATAAACTCAAGTTTGTGTACCGGACATTTGTTGACAGGGATGGGTTTTTTTGCTGTTTAATTAGTAATCTGAAAAGAATGGCGTTTATTGATTGTGAATTTTGAAAAGCGAGTGAAGGCTTTTAAACCTGAATGTATTTTTCATTCTACGTTAAAATCCCTCATACAAACAGTGCTTCTTATAAACTAAGGACAGAATTTTGGAAATATATAGAAAAAACGAGAACAGAGAAAAAACAGTGAAATTTCTAAAAAGGTAGCCAAGGTAAATATCACTTTTAAATATTTTTCACAGTAAATCTTACAGTTTTCCAAAATGACAAAGGAAAGTTACGATTGCCTGAGATTTTGAGCTATATCTGTTAACATCTCAAATAAAATCAAATAAAAATAACCGCAGTTTAGCTGAGTGTGCAACATTACTAGTTTTTGTATTATGAACTGATGACTAAGTTTTATTTACTGCTTTTATTTGGTGCTGCATAAATAAAATGATAAAAGTGGGTGAATCGTTTTAAAACAGATAATAGGATCGTGTACTAAGAAGTTGTAATTTAGGTATTCAACTACGTTACTAGTCTGCTAGGTTGTAATATGTTCCGCATACCAAGATCAGAGAATCAAGTACTATCACTAAATCACATATAATAGTAATACTAATACTACTACCAATAATAATATCAGTAGAATACTAATTTATATTGTATAAAGTGCCTAGATGAAATGTATTGATTTATTTAGTCATTCCTGACATTCCGAAACGTTTATTTGGAATTCGCTCGAAAATTCAAACGTTAACATGATCTAAATAGAACTGAAAAAGTCAGCAAATAGCTCTTTAAAATTTCCAATACTTTAAGGTCGCGAGAAAAGAGTGACAAAATAAACTGTGTTCATAACTCTTTAATGTTGAGGGTGATAGAGGTAAACTGCATCGGCTGTTACTCCAGTGACTAGGTGATCATACTGAATTCCGATTGGAAAAGCACTTAATTATTTAAATTTCACAACAGTCTTCGTCTTTCGATATACCTAAAATAATTACTGGTATAGCTGTAATAGTTCAGAACCTTTTTCGAAAATTTTCAACATGATACATATTGGAAAACGACTAAATGAGTATACCATAAGACATTCAGCAAATATATATATATATATATATATATCAAAATATAGGAAAATATGTTATTAGTGATTTTCAATGTAAAAATTCATTTTAACTGTACACGAAAACGAGATGATTGGGAACTAAATAGGTAAGCAAATCATAGCGTTATACTGTACAACATGTTATTTAAATAATTATGCAGTATAGAACAATTAACCTTTAGGTGTACAATCAGTAAACAATGACACTTGTAATGGAACGTTATCGACATTTTCTAAATGTGGGCGTATGCTATCGATTCCACATGGGAGTCGGGACTGTAAAAGAAAGAGATAATGGAAACATTGACTTGGTACTAAATGAAGAAGTAGTCAAAACGTTATAGAGAGAGAACTATTACTTGTTAAAATACAACGAACTGATCAAAAAGAATGGAATACATTAGTACGACCGAGATCTTTACGACCTACTGTTCTTTGTATATACAATAACAATAGAATAAAAAATCTTTTAAAAAACCGATGCAACTACTTGATAACCCTGTGGATATTTATATCTCAAGCTTTGAGCAACGCTTACTACATAAAAGATCTGACTAGGTAAACCAAATGGACAAAATTCAAGTGCTTAACTTCTTGGTCTACAGAGCCACGATAAGTCAGCTTAAAGTAAAGTCGGATATAAAATGAGGGGGGTTAATTAGATTCTCAGAAATCATATATGATCCCAATCAGTGTAACGAGAAATTATTCAGACAAGTAATCATTTTCTCAGACCTCATAACTCGTCATAAGCGCTTAAGGTTCTGAAATAAAACATCATCTTCAAAATATATCAAGATAAAATATGTCTAATGCTCTCTGGATTTAAATAATTCGTAATAAAACATCAGAACATTTCAAAATCTATATATGAGTCGTGATTACCATTATTCATACTGAAGAATAAAACCCAGTGAGTAATGATAGCCATCAAGATGCTAAAGGTTTTAAATAAATCATTATTTCAAGGCTGTTGAATGATGATTATCAGTATAGGGCTGTGGAGACTGTTGAGTTTTTACTGAGATCAACGTTAGATCACCACTGAAAACCTGGAAGCACTGGAAGGCCATTTCGTCCCAGTATGAGACTCCTCAGCAGTACCCACTCATGATCCCGCACACGGACGCTCGACCTCTAGACCACTGAGCTGCCATCCAACGATATCAATGTCTAACTTCAAACAATCCACGATATTGCGCGACTATCTATTATTGTCTTCAGTGGGTAACTGCCTCACACCCAACATAGTTTAACTCTACTGGTAAGTATTAAGAAGGAGATTGTTTGAAGCCCGAAAACATTTAGTGAGATTTTCAAAACAAGGTTTAAAGGAATGATAAAAACAAAGATTATGAATCTAAAAAGAATGGATGCAGATCGCTGGGGTTTCTCATTTCGCTATGATCCATAACAATATGAGAAGAGAAAGCATGACATTTTGAATTCAAGACATGTTAATGCTTGTCTAATTTAAGATACCTACTGGTGCTCAATCAAATGGATAGTTAGCATGATTCTGAGACAATGGCTCAAGTAGAAACTGTTACGATTTATAGAAATATCAGCACCAAGAGTTTGCTGTTGATTCGTAATATTCGGAACGGATAATTTTTAATTCTCAATAAAGTATTCGTTTCTGTGAGACTGTGAATATAATTTGTTGATGAGGGCCATTATCTCGTAAAGGCAAATTTAAGACGCCATAACGATTTGTGAATTAGATTCTGGTCTTATGAAAGTACAAAACAAATTCCTCAAAATAAACATAAACTTTATAACTTTAAAATTGGTGTAATAATTTTACTTATTTCATTTATAAATTGTATCATTAGATGGATGTAAAATTAGTCATTTATTATATTCGGAAATGAAATGATATTGAAATATGAAGATAAAATTATTCTGAACACCGTTTCAACAAAAAACTACAGAAAATTACCTTGTTCCTGACCAACAATTCCGATAATTTTAATTCTTCAGAATTATCGCTTTGTCCATCTACTGAGGGCGATACAGAACTAGTTGAATTACTTGATGAGGACAAGTGATAAGAGCCGAATGATTCCTTTGGACCGATTTCGTTTGAACGAATCTGCTGAAGGTAACTGGTAGACACAGCATGAGTGAAATTATTGTTAATATGATCATGAGAGCATGAAGATTGAAAGTTAGAGTCAATTTGTCGGAAATTCAGACATGGAAGGATTGATTTTGAATAGTTTGCTTCATAATACTCAGGAAATGGAGTAGATTGAAAGAACTGTGGATCAGATGTGGAACCGAATTTCTTCACAAAATTTCGTAAAGTATAAATGAATAATAAATAGCTATTTACCACAGATTGTTAATGTTACCATCAAAAATGTTTCATTGAAAATTTTAGAGCACAAAGAAACATAAGAAAGTTTGAACCATTCTATCCCATTGCGCTATCTACAAAAAATTCCCCTACTTAAAACTAAGAGAGAATTGTGTCTTTACGGTTTGGGCATCTAACTTTTAATTGCTGAGTTGTGATTTCAAGTCAATACATCACATCACAAGGGCACATGAACCTGACTAGCTTTGGTGACTCAATGCAAAGGGTACGTGCATGCAAAAGATTCTTTAAATCTTAGAGAAGTAATTTAAATGTTGATAAAGTGAAATATTATATTTATAGACGCTAATAGTCAACTAATTAAATGGGATTTGAGTAGCCTATATCATCAAGAAGTACAATAATATTATCCGAGTAATTGAGATCGACATTTGTTTTCCAGAGAACTGCTTTATAGAACTAATGTTTATGCATATCTATCTGTCTCTAGGGTCTCACTAACGCTGAAATCGAAAGGAAACGACGAGATTGGGGAATCCTGTGCATTAACACTCTTGGATTGGTTCAATGGAGATGATAAGCAGAGATGGATAGTGGCTAGCCGTGGAATCCATGACGCGCATTTCGTCCTATTTAGGACTAATCAGCAGGATGCACCTGCATTCCAGAGTTGATGTCCAATCCAGAACTCGAATGGACGAAACGCGCGTCCTGGATTCCACTGCTAGCCACTATCCATCTTCGCTTATAATGCTTGTGATTTAAGGCAATATCAGGGCAACCCTCACAGGATGCACATATGTCAATAAGAGACAGATCAATTGCAGTCTTAAACATTATTATTAAACATTGTTATTAAACATGTGATCACAGATTAATTTACCTTGGATTTATAAAATGAAAGTTAATGACATTACTATCAATTTTGGTTAGAAAGGCTAAACATCATGGAATACAGTTTGAAAAGAAATGAATTCGATGAATAAAAAGTACGAAAAAAATATTGAACCTCAAGGCTTAGGAGGAGATAAAGAGGAAGTCAATCTGGATCGATATGACCAATTCTGAATCACGTCACTAAATGTCTCTAATTTCTGATTGAGGTTGACCCAGACCAGTCCCAAAGATACATTTTGTATTTATGGGTGAGAAACACATCCCAAACAATCTTGGATTTGTCATGATGCACGGTGTTGGAAATCTGACAGTGATATACAACATGCTACGCGCCAACCCCCACCCCCAACTTATTACTAGAAGACAAACATGAAGGGGAAATTCTACTAGAGCACTGAATAACATGCATAATCACTCATATATAGACATTTTTATCCCTTGAAAATCAACCCTTTTCTTAACCAATGGTGTAGTGAACAGAACACTGGGTGGGGAGAATCGAATGTATTTGAGCACAAAATTACAGACTATTTCACTAAAATCTGATAACCATACAGTAAACAGTTAATGTGCAAAATAACAATCAATTATCTCAATCTTGAGTGTTCCTTCAGCAAATATCAGTCCATCTTCTCTGATTTCATTGTCCATACATTTTTATGACGATTGCGCTTCGTTCTTGCTCTTTCCTTATCAATCTTCTAGTGAAATACCTCATATGCTTGACCATCACCACATACTACTTATGTGAATATAAGTAACCCACACCACAATGGTATATATTTGTCCTTTAGGATATTTGTAATTGTCAAGTGGCCCTTCTGACTGGAGCGCTTTAGCAGGATTGTCACTCAAAGTAGACAGAAGGTTTTAAAGTATTTCTGGGTTTTCACTGAGCACAATCATGTTATCAGCAAATCCCAAGTCAACAAGTCAATCTCTTGGTCTATCAGTCCATAAAAACTCAAACAACGTAAGTTTCCTTTCAAGGAATGTCTATGATCTTGGTAAATAAAAGAAGTGAACGGTCCTAATAAACATTAATCATTGCTTCGAGTTGTGATAACAACCTATCATAACCTCAAACACGACTGTTGGTGTCCGAGCAAAGAGTCTTCAGATAGTTGACGTACTAATCTGGTACACACTTCAATTACAAGGACTGCCTTAAAGCCACCTGGCATATTGATTTAAATGTTTCCCTCAGATCGAGGAAGATGAATGGTTAGTCAGGTGTCAGTACGTATGTCTGTTCTAAATTCTGTCAAAAGATAAAGCTTTTACCGATACATACAAGTCCAGGACTGAAATTAGCTTTTTGTATTAGCTGATTTCTAACTTTACTGCAAGACAATGAGAAGTTAGTGTCGTGTTTCCGGATACACAAAAGGGTAGGTACCATTGGATCTCCATACTGGATAGATGAAGTCAAATGAATGACCACACCAGCAACCTGTTCCCGTATTTCGGAGACAGCATACATGGATGACACGAGACCCTAGAGTCTCATAAGGGTATGTAATCGTAATATACTGGTCCGTACACTTTTTTTAATGTATGGCTCTACAACATACGTAAAATAGTTGGAACATTTTGTCTAGATCATTTAAAGACTGTTTTGTGTAGAGCATCAGTTGGTGTGTTACGTATTCTATGGATTGTATTTTGACCACTCACCTACTATAAAAATAATATCCATCTCTAGAAAACTGACACGAAATTGACAGAAAAATGTACAATTCGTAGAATGATTGATTTTCTGAGTGATACCACCGACCACAAAGTCTGATCTAACTTTTCGAAGTTACATTTACCATTTAAATCTGCCCCCAACTTTTGTACATCGATGCAGACCATACAATAGATAGGTCTGGCTAAACATTCGAAAAGTTCCGATATTCATGTCTGTTATATATACCTGAGGCTTGTATTTAAGATTCCGGTCAAGTAAAACAAGGTTATTCGCCATCTGCTTGTTGTTTGACATATACATGTCTAATGACTCTATTTTATTAGCTTCCAGTTTCCTTGGTGTTGGTGTCACATCAAGGAGATATTGCTGGTAAATTGGAGATTAATTAACAGTCGCTCATGCACTTTTAGGTTGGGTTACATCAAAGTGAGAAAAAAACGGGGTGAGAAATAGTGTTTTTTGTTATCTCTACCTACATACGAGGGGACTGCATTTTGGGTGAAACTAACGCTGACTTCTATATCCTAATAAGGTGAGATTCATGATAAATCATATTTGATAGATCTTCTGTTGTTGGCTGGGGACTTGAATGAACAGGTAAGGGGGGTCTAGGGACAAAGAAGAGGTTACTTTAGTGACCAATGAGGACTCCGTGTTCTTAGGTTAGATGGCGGGGACAGCCTCTATAGCTTTTTGCAGAGTACAACCTGCTTCTGGTTAGTGCCGAATTCCAGGAAAGTCATCGCCAACATGTCAACCAGTGTCCTTTCTACCCATGGCGTGTGTGTGGCGGGGACAGAAGTTTTGCCCGAAATCTGACGATCTTTTGAGATCATGTTTTACCATCGATCCCCTAAGGATTGTTCACATACGGTTCAGTTTGAGAAAGTGTTTGATATTATAAATGCAAACGATATCATCGCAATGTGCAGTGGCAAACAGGATATCCAAATCAACGTGGGAATATGGCATCATTGCCAGTGAAGTAAAGTTAAAACGAGAGCCAACTTTAGAGATATCTTGCATGGCCATAAGAAAAGAGAGGAATAATATAAGAGACACATATGTGCTAAGAAAATACATCATTTAGAGATTATTTAGTGAAGTTCTTATATTGAAGTGCAGCTGTAAAAGTAATCTTAATCTAAATGAAAACATTTATAAAACATAGATCATCTTTTTGGAGATTTGTACCAATCGAGTTATTACTGTCATCGAAACAATCTTAGGTAAATACATCTACTTACTGAAGGATATGACGTTCTTAGTGCAGGAGAACTTGACGATCGCTTAGTCTGATGAGAACCTTATCGAAGGTAAAGAATAAAAACGCAGTTAGAAGATGGGAAAATATCAGTTAGAATTAATGTAAGATCAAATCACTTACCAAAGTGTTTTCTTTCAGTGACGAACACATCAGTTCCAAATGAAAATTTATTACTTTTGTGGAATTCTTTAGGAAGATCAACGGATTTGCGATTACTAACAGAATTAGGAGCCTTAAGCGATATATGACAGTTCCAACCACATTCTAAGCCCAAACGTTCAGCGAACACTCTACTTCGAAGTTCATTTTCCTTAACAAAATATACGAGAAATAACACAAAATATAGTAATAGGCCGACCAGTGTTGTTTAAGAAAAAGATAATTAATAATAGTGTTGCTAATAAGTTTCTGGGGAAAGTAATTATAAATTAAGATCTGGAAATTAGCTCAATGAAAGCACTGAAGATAGTTTCTAGGGTTGAAAAGTAAAACAGTATGTCTTGTAAAAAGAACTACTAAGGAAAAGTTTTATTGGTCACTTGAAAACTCTTGAATAGGTTTTTTAATACCACACCTTGAACGAAAAACTAAGTGTCACAGTGGTCCATTAAATAACAATCGTAAAATTAATGACCACGTACTAGGCACATTGTTTAGAAATTCCGACGCACCATACGCTGCGTAAATAAAATAAAACTATAAATAATACGTAGCGTAATGTTGTGAACAAAATCTCATCAAAACATTTCAAGAAATTAGTATCGTTACCGCTGGGAATAGTTAAACATATATATCCGAGATGGTACAGTATGTACAAAGACGTAAAAATATAAACTATTTAACTGACATAATTAATTCGATAATTTTCAGTTATAAATATAATCAGACAAAAAATCATCCTATTAAACACGTCCTTTGCATTACTTTAATAAGAACAAACACAGAATAATACTAAATACAAAATATAACATACAGTTTATCAGTGGACGTGTACAAGGACTTCTGAGTTACCTTTATAGCTCGTGAAACTACTGGGTTGCTCAGAACAAACTAAGTTAATTGATTTTTGGAACCATAATATAGTCGTTGACAGCTGAGTGGTTTTATTAACCTACATAGAGTGAATTGTCTAGGTTTACTGGCTACTTATCAGTCACATACTTTACAGAAAAGGGTACCAAACTGGAGTAAGTGATGTGAATATCAGATTAGTGTTAAAAACTACGGATAATATCTCATCATTTATATGACTTAATAACCGTATTTGCCATGGAAGTATCTCAAAAGTAGTTTGGCATGAAGTAAGGACGATAATACTTATCACACAATTGTTACTTACTCGAGAAAAATGTACAAATCGTATACATGCTTGATGAAGTTGTTTAATGGACTTCACAACTTGAGGATTTGCCTGATACTGCATACTTATTAGGCCTAAAAATATTTGATTGTTGAGTATATTGTCCACTTCTTTCTGATTAATACGTACATTACTCCTACAAAATAACGGTAAAAAAGGTGGTAATTGTGAAAAATATTTATGGGAGCTATTTAGATGAGGAAAGAAAAGTCCTATATATAACAGGGGTCTAACATATAAGAGACTGAAAGTTTTCTGAACAAACGGTAATTGAGAATCAGCTGAGTACTGAACTTTTATGATAAAAGGACTAGTGGCTGCATTTGATTTTATGAGTGATTTATGTAATTCGTAATAATCATCATTTATTTAAGATTTAGAAGCAAAAAATTAAGTTGTAAATAAATTTCGAAGATATTTTTGATTTGTAATGTAAATTTGTTGTCGTATAGGAATAATGTATGTAAAAGGACAAACTTGCTCTTTAAATTATAGGATAGATGTAAAAGGTTCTTATAAGTTAGATTTAATAAATTAGGTGGTGGAATAGGAGAGACAGTAACATAGAATCTTGAATAAAAGTTCATTGATTAGCAGACAGCTAATTTTCATCAATGTATCATATCAAATAGTTTAAGTCTTTCCAAGTGTATCCAGCAAATAGACAGTGATTTTATGAATTTATGGAATGTTTTGGTTTGGCTAGTAACGGCTTTTTTAAACTAATCCTACTTCAATTAATATTGTACGTCATAGTAGAGAATATGGTTTATTATGAATGACACTTGGTCCAACAACATTAATTTACCCAAGTTGGACACCTTAATAACTAAGTTTACTCTTTTGGCGTTTCTCCCCTGAGATCACTTAAACTATCACCTAGCCATAGACGTCAAATGGATCAAAGATGACTTGAACTGAAAACCAGAAAAAGCACACACGTCACAACTTAAATTACTTTATCTCCTAGCAGCAGATCAGAACAAACTTTACTGATACACATTAAGATTTGATTAAAACATTCCTTTCCGAGACATAAATCTTAGTTTCATTGGGTTTGTTGTACCTGATTTCTAGTTACATGCTGAATTGTTGTGAACTCTAACATCTTAAAGACCGTTTCAGAAAGGCTACTTCTTTTGTAACTATCAAGAAAAGAGCTTTGCTCTCTTTAATCAACTGGAAAGGAATTGGTTCGAGGAAGCCGTACAAGTATTAACTACTTTAACTGGTAGCTTGCTAATCATTCCTAAAAACTTTTAAGGACAAACGGCCAAGTTTTGCTATCTTATTTTATCGCTGATTTATCACAGCCTTTCTAAATTTGGTTGTGATTCAATAACATATTCGGGATATGTCAGTCAGTCAGCTACAACATAGGACCAGGCACATATATGCATCGGTCCAAGTTGCCATACCTCATTAGCACAACAAGATGAACACCGGATTCATAGAAATAGTTAATTTAGTGGTGGTAGTATATAAAGAAAGGTTGTATATAAGGATATAGTATAGGAAGGAAGAACGTTATGAAGCAATTTTAATCTCAAGGTTTAAGGGAAGATAAAGAGTGTATTCACCTACGCCATTGTGATCGATTCTGAGTCATGTCACCCAGAATCTCCAACCATTGGTTACGATAGTCACGAGGACCCCAACCAGGTAGTCTGCATCTACCAACATGACTTAGTCTAGAGGTTAGTGACTTCAAGCACTGATGCCATGTTTTGGTTTGGCCGCCCCTAACTCTCTTCCAACCATCCCCAATACTAGTCAGCATTGCGCGTCGTGGTAATCGGTGTTCAGATATACGTCGGGATATGATTAACTGTACACTAACTGAGCTGCTCTGCACAGTATACGGACCGAATTTCCAACATCTAGTTAGAATATATTAATGTTCTTTGATGTTGCTTTCAGTGGCTAGCGTCTTTAGGTGAATCCCTTCATCTTCTCCAACTTTTCAACTATCATATTTGGAACTGCGTTTACAATCAGTCAGTGGATTGTTTTACGAATTCTCCCCAAAATGATACTTGCGCTAAAACTCAGTCAGTCAGTCACAACGTAGAACTTCATACGTACGTATATCAGTTCGAGTTGCCATACCACATTAGAACAGAGATGCAGTTGTCGATCCGAGTCCCAGAGTATCGATTCAAATCCCATAGTTGCGTTTAGACTAAATACATTAGGGTTGTATTAGGAAAACAGCCAACAAAAACAAATCGTTTTACTCACTTCTCATCATGATCCAAGCTATCAGCGTTACTTTTGCAATGATCATCAGTTTCCGAAACAAAATTAGCATTTGGAAATTCATTCAACATCAAACAGTTACTAGCATACTCACCAAAATTACTACTTATTCGATTATGGTCAATTCGATGTTTTTTAGAAAACCTATCACTTTTCTTAGACGGTGAATGTTTTAAAAGTTTATCATTTGAATATGTCTCTTCCTTTTTATCGCACCCTTCCTTTTTTCGATCGCGATGCTGCCAATATTTAGAGAATGAATTAAAACTGAAGTTTTTCATATTCTTTATAAATTTTAGTTGATAATCATGTGGTCTGTTGGGTTTTGAAATAGCTTGAGATCTAGAAATATCACTATCATGAACAATCCTGTTATAAATAGAACTGGTACTGTTAATATTGTCCGCACCACGTGATAGTGGAGAACGATTTGAATATGATCGACTGCAAACCAGGTGTTCCAATACCTTTCGCCGTATTACTGGTGAAACATCATCAGACTTAATAAAATAAGAGAAACACAAAAAACAGAGTATTGCTATGCACTGCTGGAAATTTAGAAAAAGAAATGTTTTGCGACTGGGGTCAGTATTAAAACTCACATTCATATAATTGTAGTCGATTATTACGTTGCATAATTTGAAGTAATACATATTATCAAACAGAACTATTCCTCTAAATACCAAACATTTAAATTGAGATCACGAACTAGTCAAATACAGACAACCAGTAGAATTCTATAACGGGATGAAACGGTTGTCCAGTGTTTACAAGTTTTCAATGGTTGTCTAACTTTGATTAGTTCATGATTTAAATGAAGTTCGACAATCTCCATGACTCTATAATATCAAACGGTTTTTATTATTTTACATTTTCGTACATTTCTGCTAACACGTTCTCTTTATGTCTATTTCCTTACCTTTTCTCATCAGTTGAGTCTGTTTTCCTCTGATGCTGATAATTCCAGCTATTTCAATCGATGAACCTATGTCTGAAGTTTTTGTGCTTCCATCCTAAGCGAAAGGAATTCAATCACTTTTTATTCCTATTTAATATAATAATTTGTTTTCTGGATACAAGCCGAAACACTAGATGCTTTCAAAGATACATGAATATTTTTGTTGGGAGTGGTTTGAGAACAACTAAAACTAGACCTTAGAGTGACTTAAATCTGCAGTTACAAACAGAGCTGTTTATCAGTTACGAGTGTATGTATATACATATTTTGACGATATACTAACAGATTGTGGTGAACAAGATCATGCCGAGTGACGGCTATGAAGCTTTTTGGAAGTATCCATAAGATAAACATCCTGACAACCCTTCTAGAGAGGTGTGGTTTTCGATCATTATTTGGGAGTGCCATAAAATCCAGAAAAGTGAAAGGGTACTTTTTTGACGAAATCATAGTAATCTTTAATTTATCGTGTGTTACAAATCATTATTGACTAATTATCCCAGGTAATAAGATTTAAATAATCGCAAATCAATCCCGAAATACCCTAACTGAATATCCTCTATTGATCTCCGTCAGTTTTGTATTTAGTGAAAGTCACTAGATTTAAATATCAATAACTAGACAGGTAAGATTGAGTTCGAATACATTAGGATCATATTAAGAATTCGTACCGCCGAACTGTCAAGTTCTAGAAGGGAAAGTCCTTTCGCCCGCTTATAGGATTCAGCGGTTTTGCAAAATAAACTTCAATCGTGATGAACTGAATATAACGACGGTAGATAGGTATGAATTTACGGAGATAAGGCAGTTTTATAGAGAAGGTATATGTAAACATGTTTTATGAGCTCCGCATCATTTAAAAAACAATCATGAAAGTAACAATTAGAAGTACTAAATCTTACTCCTGGTAAACGAAGCATGAAGATATCTGACGGACTGGAAAAATTACCCAACAACAGTCTATAAGATTCCTCAATTTTATCAACCAACGGAGAATAAGCGAAGCCAATACAGTATGCAGACGACAGATGACGATTGTGGAATCCTAAGATTAGTTCACGTTCTCTATCCGACAGTGGTACAATATCCCGCCCATCCCAAATATCAGAACACAAACTAGCGAGAATATCACCAGTACCTTGAGACAGCAATTGATAACCACCTTGGATATTTGGATCAGAGAAGACAGAGCTAAAGCAATAAGCCAAATGAATTCGGTCCTACAGTGAGTAAAAATCAAATTTCGATAGTTAGCATTACACCGTTTTGGAAATCCAACTGACTAAAATTAGTGTGAAATATATTTCCTTACATTTGTTGCACGGATTACTTAACAAAAATCAAAACAAGTATAAAAATGGAAGTAAAAGTGCACGTTTATTGAAATATGGTTCGATCACAAACTAGTCAAATCATCATAGAACTATTTATGAAGTGATTTACGACGATGCTCTGCTAAAAAAAACCAGTTGTTTTGATCCTTTAGATTACTTAAACTAAAATCTTATTGATGACTTAGGTTAACAACACAGTTATCATTTCATGATGAAAACAATCGTTACACAAAAACAAAACATCAAATCTAGTCCCTAGTGATGAAACTGACACGAACTTACCAATAAACTACTTGGAATCCCATAAGATCAACACATTTTGAGAGTTAGGGAACAAAAGACTCATCCAGACAAAAAATGCATCAGACAGGAGTAAACAATGTGGGGGGTCTGGCACAAACGTATATCAGTCAAAGTGGTCACAGTTAACATAAAAACAGGAAAAAGCACCAAAGGAGTAGCGAAAGTAATACCAACATTATTGGCAAATTGAAAGAGATAACGAAGTTGGGACGAAAGATCATGTAAAATACTTATAGAGGAGCAAAGAATGGATCAATCTAAGTCACCAAGGCAAATTGTCCCATGGTCTTAACGACTGATTACAGTTAACTAACACATAATTAGACAACATTATTGGATATAATAAATAACTTTTAGAATAATCAACACAGTAGTACTATGGTTCGGTATAAAGCTTTGTTTGAAATCGAAAAGCTACTATGAAGTCGCAAACATCAAAAACGTGGGGTGAGTGGAGTGGGTTTTATGCACAAGTGACAGTGACATACTGTCTCCAAAATTCAGTTAGTTAAACTACTACTTTTCCTAAAGGAGTATAGAAAACTAAACACTAAGCACTTGGGAGGTCTCTAAACCAAGATTACGCTAGTAACCAACTTGAATCACTCAACTGTACCTATTAACTGTCTTGAGAGACCGAGTAGTCTGTTAAGTTAACGGTATTCATTCAGCTTCGCCAACAATTCTCATCACATTCCTGTTTCACTGTGTGATAGTATGAATCGAAAAAAAACTATGTGCAGGATCTTATACGGACAGTCAGTTAGCCTTAAAAGGTACTTAGAGAAAAGAAGCAAAAAGGGACAGTAGTTATTCTATGATAAATGAGATAATATTTAGCTTGCACCATAAAGCTAGCCAGTGATAAAGAAGCAAGATAACACCACAAAAACAGGTAAGTTATGTAAACAAATAGAGTCAAACCTACATTATTTGTATTATCTTTTGTTGGAAGGATTTCTTCGGAAGATAATTTACTTTTCACATCAGTAGCGTTGGAATTAGAAGCATATGCAGCTGAGCAAATAGAATAAGCACCTAAGCATCCATGAGTACCAAAACCGCTCACAGCACCATCACGAAATCCTATCTGGCTGGCAAGACCACACAGACAGAAAGTAAGCGGCAGTGCAGTAGTACATGACGAAGAATCAAAATATTTTTGAGTTGCATTTACTTTTTCAAAAAAGCCGATTCTCTGTTTCGCAATAGCAGAGTGACAATTGTTGAGAAGAATCGACAAACCGATTGGCTTAAGCGATGAAAGGAAACGATCCCAGCGCGGTTTTTCGAAATGCGGTAAAAAAGGACGATAAAAATCGGTTCGTAAGTCTAGAACTACCGGTGCAACACAACTGCCCAGTGAAAACACAGCACTCCGTTGAAAACCAAGTGTCTCATTAGGATCACAGTTAGTAGGTAGCTGATTTTGGATGGAACTTTGAGTCTTGTAAAGTTCTCCTTGATTAATTTCAGCACACTATGAATTTGAATAGAATTTGAATATAACGTAGTTTTGAAATAAATGAGTTATTGCATCAATATACAGAGTAATTTTGATTTGGGAATCCATTTACACATTAAACCAAAAATACAACGTATATTCAGGGTGATAAAATGAACGATTATGTCCAATAAATTTATGCAACAATTACTTTTTTTTAAAATTCAAACAGAAATTTTATTTAAAACAGACATTTCATTTCTAAGAATAATAACAGTAATTTAAACAAGGTCTGATGAGCGAATCGCAATTCTAGAAGAGCAGGTAAGTATAAAACGAATTCACTTTTATCGCTTTCGAGCCAGAAGTTGTTCAATTGATTTCGAAACCTGGCTCAAACCATTTCTCAGTCAGTCAGCCAGCTACAACATAGGACCAGGCACATATATGCATCGGTCCAAGTTGCCATACCTCATTAGCACAACAAGATGAACACCGGATTCATAGAAATAGTTAATTTAGTGGTGGTAATATATAAAAGAAAGATTATATATAAGGATATAGTATAGGAAGGAAGAACGTTATGAAGCAATTTTAATCTCAAGGTTTAAGGGAAGATAAAGAGCGTATACACCTGCGCCACTAAGATGGATTCTGAGCCATGTCACCCAGAGTCTCCAACCATTGGTTACGATAGTCACGTCGACCACAACCAGATAGTCTGCATCTACCAACATGACTTAGTTTAGAGGTTAGTGACTTCAAGCACTGATGCCATGTTTTGGTTTGGCCGCCCCTAACTCTCTTCCAACCATCCCCTACACTAGTCAGCATAGCACGTCGTGGTAATCTGTGTTCAGGCTTACGTAACACGTGGCCTAATCATCTCAGTCGATGAAGATTCATGACCTCATCAACTGATTTAATTTCGATGGTTTCCTAGTCAATTGAGATAAATAGTTTGATAGTTAAGCTTTGATTAGCTTTCAGGACGATTATTGCCACAAGCTACAGATAAAAGTTGCTTTAAAAAAAGCAAAACTTACTTGTTTTTCTGTGCGTATAAAAGCCGACGTGTTCAGCTGACCTGCTTTAGAATTTTGATGATCCGAATGTTCTTCCGCTTTCAAGTTCGATTTATAGACAACACTTTGAGACTTGTTTGTACCAAAACTTTCCTGATGGTGATGATTGTGGTGGCGTCTATGGAAGAAAAACATTTTCTCTGGAGTTGGTAACGACTGGCTTATAACACCTTCTTGGTTGACACAACACACGGAACTTAGTGTTCCCAAAGTAAGAACAATATTTTCCAGATCTACGTCCGTCTGAAAGTAAAACTATGGTTACAAGACCTTTAAATAAGCCACTGTAGAATCATAACGTATTGAGAAAACGCTTCGTAGATAAATAGAATGCAATAGTAGTAGTAGTTGTAAGTAACAAGACATGTAGTATAGAATCACCAAGTAATTTACCTTTACATTTATCAAGTTACTTCTAATACACTTCATTTTTTAATGTTCATTCAACGTAACAAAGTGGAAAGCCCCTCCTAGTAATCCTGTTGCACCGTACAGTTAGGAACGAAGTGAGTTATTATTGAAGTTGAAATGTTAGTAGATATATGGAGTATGTACCTAACTATGGATTAATCGAAATCACAAAACTCCAGTGCATTTGGTATTCAAACTGATTACCTAAGCAGTTTTTTTTATAGAATTGGCTGCCTAGTTTTTTTATCCAACTCAAAGAATGACTAATAAGGTTTATTCCACTAATTCAAGCTACAGAGCAGTACAATTATTGCGTAATCTTATAATTTCTATGAATGTTATTTTAGTGTCTATACTCTACTAATCATTGACCTAATTCCCACTATGTAATATTGATTCAACTCTTTATTATTCTTATCACAACTAGTAAACCTGTTGTCACACTACCAATTTGTACTTTTCACTTATTATGTTTAGTTATGTAGCCTATTCCACAGTTATCAGTGACCCATTAACTGCCTTGATTGGTTGAATAATTTCGTATATGCATATAAATATTACTGTATATTAAAGCCTGATGAGGATCTAATGGAAAACAACATTGTTCGCTTATTTATGTTGAGTTGTATTTGTATGTGTAGACTACCTAATTTATAGTCGGCTTGATTATTGTGATCAATGGGTGGGGACTTGATGTGATATGGCTTAAAATCGCTCACAGCGGTGCCCGCAAATGCTCTGGTACGGCCGAGAGTGGGGAGAGTCCGCTCTTCCTCTCCAAATGCTCTCACATGGCCAGCGAATATATAGCCTCTGCCAGGGAAGTCCTACTCACTGCCTTTTCGTGGCGCGGGTGTTGTTTACGAAAGTGAGAGGACGAAGAGCGAATGTCCGGAGCTTTAACCGGGTTGCTGGACATGGAGGGTCCACCTAGGGGAGTTGGAAAACCCTGATTCCAAACCAATGGTGCACATGAGCCCCAGGATCCTGATGGAACGAATGGCGTATGAACCTATTGTTGGTCACCGGCTACCATGGGACTGCATCTCCTCACGATGCTCCACTGCCTTGTGGATTAGACCTTTAGATCAAAGGCTCGGGGTGTGGCCCCCTAAGAAAACCGCCTGCTTCAGTCTGGGCACCTGGGCAGTATCTCAGCCCTCACACAAATCGAATGAGATTTGTGAGGCGCATATTTATCTGGTGCCTTTTGTACCAATATTTGTGTTAAAATAAATAAATAATCCACTATTTATTTTCCATAGGATTCTGACTTTAAAAATTGTCTTAAGAGTCTATGTGTAGTCCTCTCTAATACCACTGGTGATAATACCATTTATACTAACCCAGCAACTGTTTTGATAATTTCATGTTGTTGTGAATATATATATATATAGCACCTTGAACAAATGTACATGTTCCAATTTGTACGTTACGCATAAATGATTGAATAATTTCTGACCATTAATTATACCAAATATTGCTATCTGAAAACTATAAAGTAAACGCTACACGTAAGTATGACTCTGGTACAATATCACTGACAGCCGCAGAATTCTTCATTAATTCAACAAAATCTTGTGTAAATCACCTTGAAAATACCGTATAACCTTTGAATTTAAGTCTCGTTAGAATCATTTGACAAAAAAAGTATTAGTACATAACACCCAACTTTTATCAGCTATAAACTACTGAAAAGTAATGTTACAAGCAAACAAAGACTGGCTTTTTAAAGGGTCAACTTCTACTCTACGGAGCAAACAGAGAAAACAATCATTTACGGGTCAGAAGGTAAACTTTTAGTAAATAGATAAACAAGCTTAATCTTACTTACCATAAAGCCAAAGGAACGAAGATTGGAAATAAACGAGTGAAAAGTTAATGTATTTGATTTGGAGACGTTAGAGATGTTGGGCTGGCAAAATACATGGGTAGATTTAAAGTCATGGTTATCAGTAAGTTTAAAATGAACATGTGCATTGGAAAGAACATTCTGGAAGTGGAATGTGACAACCGCAGTAGCAACCATCCATATGAAATACAATGAGAAGCTTGAAGAAGCAATAACAACACCAAAAGTGTGGGCAAACCAGATTAACAAGCGGTAAAACTGGTGACTAAGATTACCAATAGGTAATGCGCCAATAAATATTGAAGTTAGGAAAATTAAAGTTATTGAACACTTGATAATTAAAGAAACCCAAACTGCAGTATCCACAACTTTATAAGCAAGCGGTTGAAATGTATAACTATTTTCAACTCTTGATCTAAAAGCGATTTCAAGGTAAGAAACCAAAGGAGAATGGATGACAACGGCTACCATAGACTCATCTGATTTTTCAATGGTAGTAAACGACGTGGGTATCGGGTTACAACTGAGTTTGTGAGGGACAAAAACATCACCTGGAAAGTGAATATGATTCTATTTTAAAGGTCAAAAAGAAAAAATGTAAGTACCCTTACTTCATTTATTTGTTTGCAGAAAGCGAAGATTGTCTGACCCGGTTTAATAATAATGACATCACCTGGAACAAGTAAAACAGCAGGCAAGACCACGATTTTTCCATCTCGGATAGTAAGGTGGGTATCCAAACCAACTATTTCATTTGAAAGTCCATTTAAACACGGTGAATATGAGAGCATATTAGGGTTCATATTTCCTACAAAATATTAGGAACATCAGACTTACTAAAAAAAGCGATGAAAGATCTTAAGAATGTTTTGAACTTTGAACAAGACGAAATTATCCTTTTATAACGCGTTATGAACGTTAAGAATAAAAGGCTACTTGATAAGAAAACAAATAGCAAATCCCCAGCAATCGATATCCAGGAGTAACTATTAATGTTGAACATGTCAAACAAAATATTTCATATAAAAGTACCTGGGGGAATATCGGTATGAAGCAACAGAACTTGATATAAGAAGAAGTGACATTATGCTCAACATAAGAGATAATATATCCGAACGAGACCAACTCAGCAATACAATACGATTTATTGGTCTTTCACTTAATGTTTCCAACATTTTGCAAAACAGTTCCAAAGCCACTGGAGTGCCTAGACCCTGACTCATTGTAAAACAGTAAACGTAATCATCTCAGCGAAACAATGGATAACACCACTTTTCCCAAGTCGGAAAGCATCGACCTTGAAATATTAAATCTTGCTCAGATACACAAACACTTTGAAAACTGATTCCGTTCAATGACAACGTATTACAGTAAACAGGTACTCGAATGCTGAGAAAATTTAATTCCGAGGACTTTATAATTTTCATGGTGAAAGTGAGTCATCGTTCGCTTTTACGCAGTTCAAGGAATTATCACACAAGTTCTATGGTTTTAATAAGGAAAAGTCATATCTTATACAGATGTAAAGGCACAAATTAGCAAGGCAAGGACCGCATCCCTGCAAGCATATGGAACTCAAGATAGCTGCCAGCCAACATCAAAGTCATAATCTTCACCACGAACATCAAGACAGTCCTACTGTATGGAGCTGAAACTTGGCGAACAACCACAACCATCTTCAATAAGGTACAAGTATTCATAAACTACTGTCTGCATAAAATATTCCAGATCGTTGGTCGAATAAGATCAGCAACAGCCTACTATGGAAAAAAAACCATCTTCAAACTAATGAGGACAATAGGAAAAGTCGTTAGAAAATGGAAAGTTTATGGAAAGTGTATAACTCGTTCCTAACTGAAGTTCCATAAGTAGTCTTGACTTTAGATTTATTTTCGTGACCGAGGTTATTATTTTGAACTTTCCATGTATCTCATCAAACTGCATGTTAACCTGACCCGTGCACGCGTTGCGTTATATCTCCATTCTTTATAAAGTAAATAATCATTTGAATCGCCTTTAACGTTTTTAACTAAACTCATTAAAGTAGTTATTGCTATACGTATTTTGGTTTATGAATTGGTCTCAAAAGACGAACGAAGTTTAGGTAGTCTAGTCACCGAATTGAGTTACTATCATACGGCACTAATATAATAACTAAATTGTCAGGTAGTTGATGGCCAAACGAACATTTAAATCGAGACGGATACATCTGAAATCACATGTTGAGGTTATGAATTCTATTTGTTGGTAATTCGATAGGAAAATTGATAGTCAGATGACAAGTAATCTCTTATGAGTTTGTGAAAATTTTCTTAATCCCTTTAAATTCTCTGCTATGGAAGACAAGAAAAATGGTGGCATGTAAGACGCAAATTTATCAATAAGTAATTAAAAATCATTGGTCAAATCAAATCTGGTTCTTCCGTGTGACAAGAAAAGTTGGGTTAGTGTGTAGCAAGCCCATTCAACTATTGTATTATTTGTGTGCTCTCTGTAATCTTAACATTTAGTCCACTTTGTAAATTTATGTGTGAGTCTGATTGAGCGCATGTGTCTGCACATCAATCTTTAATCCATTCTCTCATTGGTTGTAAACAAATACAATCAATAGTTATCCACAACCCATTGACACTCATAAATATATATGAATTTTTTAACACTCATTGACACACACACTCATTTGTTTTCCCAGTGTGCTTGCTATCTTTACGCTTGCGGATTTTTACCGAGCTTCAGCGATAAACCATCTATATAACTGGTGTTCAGGTTTTTGAATAATCTCGAGTAAACCCGTAATTCTACTAGGAGATTTAGCTTGCATTAAATATTCAGTTAGCGGGATATTATTTTTTTATTGCAGTCAGATATATGGGTATAAACCCTCTACAAGTTTAGTCACTCTATCGTCATACAGAAGCCTTGCCATCCCGGGAATCAGCTTCGTTCCGCTTCTTTGAATCTCTCCCAACAACTCACTGTCTCTGTTCGGGCAGAGGCTAGCCACTTGTATGTAATATCCAAGTTTCGGGCGAAAGAACACTGTCGAAAATGTTTCGGCACTGATGTGGCTAAAGGGCTTCATATATAGACCATAGGGTTCTTAAACCTGTGGTGTCTATCGCGCAGCATTGCGCCGTAGGTTTTGAGTCTTGACTAAAGATGAATCCTGGGTGATTGTGTGCCTGGTTAACAAGTAGCTCAATGTTACTCACCTTGTAAGTATCTACACTTTGATGACCAATATGCATCAGAACACAGCTGAAAGTACTTATCCGCAACTGTTTTTCAGAATGAGTCGAGCTTTCGTCTGGATACTCAACACAACTAATTCCGAATAATCCTACCTGAAATTTTAACTGCCACACAGATTAGGCTAGGGAGTTGTTGTTTCTCAGGTTTGTATCTCGTACCTGTTTTGAAGATTGGACTCACTGTAGTATTCTTCCGATATTTTGGTAATTGGCCTTGGCTTGTGTTCAGACGAACATGTTTCTTTGGTGTTTGCGATTAAACTTATCAATTCATTTATTATTGTAGGATGCATTTCATCGAGCCCCATGGCGATACCGAAACAATGAATATGTCACAGGTATTGAGATAATTTTAGAATACCTGATCGGTGAGACTATAATTTATGGGCAAACCAATATGGCAAAAGATAACGGGTCCTGCATTTAGGCGTGAACTTCACTCATCCGTTTGGCGAGATACCGTCTTGGAATTATAGCTGATATCAGTTGGTGATGAAAAAACGTAAATTTAATTTCTAATCTTAACCATCAACTGTGAATCCTAATCCTAATTCCTCATACACGTTTATAATCCTCAGTTGGTCTTAGTTATTAGGTGGGTACTCTCGAGGTCACTTTAGGGTCTCTCAAAGTCGTCCATAAATTATAATCTCTCCTACCTGATCTTTACCATAAGTGTCCTCCACAGATGACGTAGTAAGGATAGGTTTATCACAAAAGATTAGAAAGTTTATGGTCTTGATTCATTAGATCCGTATAAAAATCTCCGTCCCAAAAGATGACATAATATGAGAAGCTAAAATACATCCCAATTTACAAGGAATTAGGATAGAACACGAAAGAAGCCGTGAAACTCCTGATTAGAGCAAGGAAAATTTGGAGTTTTCAACCGTGAGCGGTATTAGTGACACGCTCTTATGTATCTGACAAAGAATATCCAATTTTTCACTTTGATTCAGTAGGTGCTGAGGGGAACCATTCTGAGTATTACTTCTCGATCACCCTTTGGTTTATTGTTTAATAAATTTGCCTTTCACATTTAGAGACAACGTGAATATAAACGTAGATCACTTTGACCAAGAAATATTTCGTACTACGTAGGCGCAGAATGAAGTTGAAATTACCATGTATGGTGTTGTTAACGGATTTTGTTTTCTTTCTATTTCAAGGTAAGCAAGGAGAAACTCTTTGGAGGAAGAAGAACAAGCCCTGAATACACCGAACTCACAATACGATTCACAGGAATATTTTGTAAATTAGCTTCTCCTTCTGTACATACCCTACCAATTTTGATTTTAGAAAATAAGACTCGTGACTTCCACTCCGTGTTCTCTCTTAGTGTGAAGTTCTCGATTAACATTGCGTGTTGTGGTTTCAGGTCATCTCCGTGCAATTAGTTCTCCGTTTGCTCAGAAAAGTGTAAAGTTTGAAGTTCAATATTAGGGTAGAATTGACCTTGTGCGGTTTTCGAATCGTCCGTTGTCATGCTTGGTTCGTCCCCTCGTAATGTTGTGCGTGTAGGGTCGAGGCGCAGTAATCTGGCACTTCTACAGACTGGAATGGCAGTTAATTTACTCCAAAAACAGAATCCACATATTCTCTTTGAAGTTGTGGAGATGGCAACTGTCGGCGACAAAATTCTTGACGTTTCGTTATCAAAGATAGGTGATAAAAGTTTATTCACAAAGGAACTTGAAAATGCCTTACTTAGTGGAGAAGTTGACCTTGTCGTACACTCACTTAAAGATGTCCCATCAATCCTCCCTTCTGGCTTAGTCCTTGGGTGCGTGTTTGCCAGAGTATCTCCAGAAGACGTTGTTTTAATGGCTCCACATTATCGTGGGAGAAAACTTTCTGATCTCCCTATCGGATCTACAGTTGGAACAAGTGCTGTTCGGCGCGTAGCCACACTTACACGCAAGTACCCAAATCTAAAGTTTGTATCCATACGTGGAAATTTAAACACAAGGCTTGCCAAACTCGATACTCCTCCAGCTTCCAAAGATAATTGCTGTTCAGGCAATCCATCTCCAAGTTATGATGCGATCGTTCTAGCTAAGGCGGGCGTTGAGAGGATGGGCTGGTCGCACCGTATTGATCAGGTTAGTTATTGTATTGCTTTGAGTAATTAATATGTGACCGCAACTTGTTTAAAAATTGAAACGACTATTAATTTCTTGACGATAATAATCACTTCTTTCATGAATTTGTATGACAACAAAAACCAAACTGCCCCTAGATGCCCTTGTACAACTGAAGGTGGGGATGGTCCACTTCCTCTCTAAATGCTCCCACATGACCACGCGTATCCAGCCACTGCCTTCTCGCGAAGAGTGTTGTCTACGAAATTGATAGTAAGAAAAGCGAATGTCCGGCCCTTTAGACGGGATTCGCTTTCGAAGGGGGGTGAAAAATTCTGGTTCCCAACCAATAGTGCATGTTGGCTTCAAGATCCCGAGGGAACGAATGGCATATGAACCAGTTATTAGTCACCGGCCATCATGGAACTGCATCTCCTTACGTTGCTCCGCTGCCTTGTGGATCAGACCTTTAGGTCAAAGGCTCGGGATGTGACCACCTAAGAAAACCATCTGCTTCAATCTAGGCACACGAGCAGTATCGCAGCCCACACACAAATCAAATGACTTGTGTGATGCAGGTCTATTCACTGCCCCTTTGTACCAATATTTGTGTTCAAATAAATAAGTTAAGTTTTTATCATTCGGCATCACTCACGTAGCAGTAGAATTACGCGAATGACTTTTATTCCAAGAACAGTTAAATACTTAATGCTTAGATATCTTGAATTCCTAAACTCATTTGCTCCAGGTACTTCTGGCCATCGAATCGTCATCAACCAGCTTTTTTACCTTCATGACTACTTTCTGAGAACACTTGCCTCTAAAAATTAACACGCGGAATCCAGTATGTATACTGGTTTTGTATCAATTTACCTTGATAACTTCATGCTAGGTTTAGATATCCATTTGTATGAGTTGCCATTAAATGACCAAACTGCATTGAGTTGAATAAGTGTTCTCTTGATTTATAGTTGATCTAATATTGATCATGTGTATGACTGAGGTTTTGATGTCGTATGTAAACAAATGTTGATGGAAAAATTAGGGAACACTTTGGCATTCATCTTTGGTGATTTGTGTTTAAAGCTTTCCTGTTGCGTTAAATATTTGTACCCAAAACATGTACCTTCTGAGCTAATGATGTCCAACCTCACCTTCAAAAGATTGCTTATATTCAGTGATAACACCCTTGTTCATTTCTATGAATATAAACATCAGAATAAATATGTGTCAGATAAGATTATTTAGATTGTGTAGAGATGGAAAAGGAAGACGGGTATAATATAAATGAGTCGATAAGAACTAAAAAATTAGGAGCTCAGTTAAAAAAGCACTACCAGAAAGAATTCCTTTAGTTTAAGAAGTTCCTCTCATTTATATGAAGGAATTGAAAGAAAATTACAGCAAGACTTCCACTGGCTTCTATCCTGGTAGATATTTGATAACATCTCAAGCCGCTATAGTAGTCCTGGGTGTCCAAGCCTAAGCAGACAGTCAGTCAACTACAACATAGGACCAGGCACATATATGCTTCGGTCCAAGTTGCCATACCTCATTAGCACAACAAGATGAACACCGGATTCATAGAAATAGTTAATTTAGTGGTGGTAGTATATAAAGAAAGGTTGTATATAAGGATATAGTATAGGAAGGAAGAACGTTATGAAGCAATTTTAATCTCAAGGTTTAAGGGAAGATAAAGAGCGTATACACCTGCGCCACTAAGATGGATTCTGAGCCATGTCACCCAGAGTCTCCAACCATTGGTTACGATAGTCACGTCGACCCCAACCAGATAGTCTGCCCTCAAATGCCCTGGTACGGCCAAGAGTGGGGAGAGTCACCTCTCGAAATACTCTCATATAGCCAGCGAATATATAGCCTCTGCCAGGGAAGTCCTACTCACTGCCTTCTCGTGGCGGGGGTGTTGTTTACGAAAGTGAGAGGACGAAAAGCGAATGTCCGGCGCTTTAACCGGGTTGCTGGACACGGAGGGTCCACCTAGGGGAGTTGGAAAACCCTGATTCCAAACCAATGGTGCACATGAGCCCCAGGATCCTGATGGAACGAATGGCGGACGAATCTGTCGTTGGTCACCGGCCACCATGGGACTGCATCTCCTCACGATGCTCTACTGCCTTGTGGATCAGACATTCAGATCAAAGGCTCCGCGTGTGGCACCCTAAGAAAACCACCTGCTTCAGTCTGGGCACCTGGGCAGTATCACAGCCCTCATACAAATCGAATGAGATTTGTGCGGCGCATACATATCTGGTGCTTCCTTGTACCAATATTTATGTGTTTAAATAAACAAATAAAACTACACTAGTCAGCATAGCACGTCGTGGTAATCTGTGTTCAGGCATACGTAACACGTGGCCTAATCATCTCAGTCGATGAAGATTCATGACCTCATCAACTGATTTACCATCATTCCCTAATACCCTGTGTCTAATCTCACTATTACTTACCCGGTGATCCCAGCAGATGCGAGCAATATTTCTAAGGCATCTGTAGTCAAATACTAGTAACTTACGAGTATCTTCTACTCTCAATGGCCATGTTTCACAGTCGTAAGGTAGAACAGTGCGAACTGCTGCGCAGTATACCCGTCCCTTAATTGATAGACGGATATCTCGTCTTCGCCATAGGTGACGTAAGTTGGCAAAAGCCAAACGAGCTTTTCGAATCCGTGCTGAGATTTCGTCAGACACCAACCCATTAGGGCTGATCAGACTTCCAAGATAAGTGAAGTTTTCGACGCGTTCGACTACTTCACTCCCTATCCTTAGTTCAGGTGTTGACGCAGGCCAGTCCTGGAGTAACAATTTATATTTGAATGGGGAGAAACGCACCCCAAATATCCTGGCATTATAATTCAGTTCTAACAGAAGACTGGATTTTGTCAGCGTCTTCACCAAACAGGAATATGTCATCTGCGTATTCTAAGTCGCCTAGTGGACCCCCTGGTAGATCAATCCCCGAAAATTCAGTCGAAGAGTGTTACTTCCAGCAATAGGTCTATAATGAAGTTAACCAAAAATGGGGATAGTGGACAACCTTGTCGGACACCACATAAGGTTGTAAAATCTGATGAAAGTTCGCCATAAGCTCTCACTCGACTGATAGTGTTCAAGTAAAGATCATTTACAAGGTTTATGTACTTCTGAAGCACACCTTTCAATGACAGACACTGCCACAGAACCTCTCGGTCTACAAGGTTGTCCACTATCCCCATTTTTGGTTAACTTTATTATAGACCTATTGCTGGAAATAACACTCTTCGACTGAATTTTCGGGAATTGTTCTCCTACCAGGGGGTCTACTAGGCGCCCAGCCCTAATGGGTTGGTGTCTGACGAAATCTCAGCACGGATTCGAAAAGCTCGTTTGGCTTTTGCCAACTTACGTCACCTATGGCGAAGACGAGATATCCGTCTATCAATTAAGGGACGGGTATACTGCGCAGCAGTTCGCACTGTTCTACCTTACGACTGTGAAACATGGCCATTGAGAGTAGAAGATACTCGTAGGTTACTAGTATTTGACTACAGATGCCTTAGAAATATTGCTCGCATCTGCTGGGATCACCGGGTAAGTAATAGTGAGATTAGACACAGGGTATTAGGGAATGATGGTAAATCAGTTGATGAGGTCATGAATCTTCATCGACTGAGATGATTAGGCCACGTGTTACGTAAGCCTGAACACAGATTACCACGACGTGCTATGCTGACTAGTGTAGGGGATGGTTGGAAGAGAGTTAGGGGCGGCCAAACCAAAACATGGCATCAGTGCTTGAAGTCACTAACCTCTAAACTAAGTCATGTTGGTAGATGCAGACTATCTGGTTGTGGTCGACGTGACTATCGTAACCAATGGTTGGAGACTCTGGGTGACATGGCTCAGAATCCATCTTAGTGGCGCAGGTGTATACGCTCTTTATCTTCCCTTAAACCTTGAGATTAAAATTGCTTCATAACGTTCTTCCTTCCTATACTATATCCTTATATATAATCTTTCTTTTATATATTACCACCACTAAATTAACTATTTCTATGAATCCGGTGTTCATCTTGTTGTGCTAATGAGGTATGGCAACTTGGACCGAAGCATATATGTGCCTGGTCCTATGTTGTAGCTGACTGACTGAAACATAAACGATTGCCTGAGCATAGTTGCAACAGACGATCACCGTTATCTGTTCGGTGAACCGGAATACTAATATACCCATGTAAATGTTTTGGTCTTTGGTTTAAGCTTCCTACTTGGACATTAAAGTCACCTACTACAAGTAGTATGTCTGAGCGTTTAGCTTTATGAAGAAGTTCAGAGAGCCTTCTATAAAAGTCATCTTTTATTTCAACCGGGGTGCAGCCACTGGAAGCGTAGGCAGAAACGACGAAAAGGCAACGACGTGTGTCCCTATCCTTCCGAGTTCTTATGGAGCCGTTTAGCCAGACAGCACACAGGCGACTGCTAACGAAATCCAATCTAATAGTGCTTGTTTTGCCCTCGTATTTAGTACTATGCCTACACCTGCCAGTGCACGAAAAATAACCATTGGACCGTCAGATACATGGAGGGTGTATCTCATCGGCTCTCCGTTTTGACGAGGTGAGGTCAAGTGATCGACCACAATTGGATCCTGTATGCGTGTTTTGGAGATACAACATACATTAATGGAACGAAATTCTAGGGTTTTAGCCATTGAGGCCGGCTAGCCGATTTGACATAGTGTACGTAAGTTGAAGGCTCCAATGTGTAGTTTAGAGTGATGTTTCAGTAGACATGAGACAGTGTTTAGCTCACTAGAATCGTTGGCTATGGTGACACTTGAGGAGGATGCGGAAAGAGGAAGTTTAGTGTTAAAAGTCTGTGTAGGAGGAATAATATGAATTAAGGAGGGAGATTGATCTTGAATGCTGTTAGAGGTATGAGGGCGTTTATTACTTCCCGGTTGCCCACACCGTGGAAGGTTTCTTCTAGAGGTACTTGAAAATGAAATTGGGTTAGAGTTGATCCTAGTGACCTGAGGACATAACCCCAGTGCCCAAGGGACAACTGCTTGAGGTCGGTCACACACGGACGTTTTGTGAGTAATTTTCATGTTAACTCCGTACTCGTTGGGACCTTACCGCCGGAGACGGAAATCCGTGAGATAAGGTGAGGTGTGCATTTTCGGGATCAACCTTTTCTAACCCCACCCCTCCTTGTGGGAAGGCAGCGTCGCTGTTATGTTGGTTGTCTGAAGGAAACACCTTACTGCCGTCTCACCTCTGTACAGTCAGCAGTACGACTTCGCCTTCAGACCTTGTTTTTGCTGCGTTTAGTCTTAGCGCTCTTCAACCGACCTGCCTGACAATGCATGGTCGGACCTAGAGGAACGATTTTTCGAGCCAGTATAGCTCGATTGGTTCATCACGATAGTGAGCCCGACCACCACGTCAAGGTAGCAGCAACGATCGGGAAATCGAAGCAGGTGGTTTTCCTAGGGCTGCACTCGCGAACCTTTAACCTATTTGTCCAATCTACAAGACAGTGGAGCAACGTTAGGGAATTGGTTCTCACGGAAATTCCCCCAGTAAAAAAGGCTGTCCAGCACTGGTATAGTGGCTTGAGATGTTATCAAATATCTACCAGGATAGAAGCCAGTGAAAGTCTTGCTGTAATTTTCTTTCAATTCCTTCATATAAATGAGAGGAACTTCTTAAACTAAAGGAATTCTTTCTGGTAGTGCTTTTTTAACTGAGCTCCTATTTTTTTAGTTCTTATTGACTCATTTATACTATACCCGTCTTCCTTTTCCATCTCTACACAATCTAAATAATCTTATGTGGCACATTTATTTTGGTGTCCGTTTTTATCACCATGTATGTGTTTAAATATTTCGCTAAAGTAAACTGTAGTGAACTTCAGCACAAACTGGTTGATCGTCTTAATCTAGAATGGCCAGCTGAGTTATCAGGATGTGCTTAGTGTACATAAAGATTAGGTGGGTCATCGAAAAGGTTCGTCAATGTTCTGAACTTTCGAAGATCATAAAAGTTTTCGCCAAGGTCAAGTTCATACAGTTCGTCACGATGCGAATTGATCGATAAGGATCTCTCCATTAAGGTACTTGAATAAACCTTTCAGCGTAAAGTAAGATTTTTTATCATGTTGTTGGCGGGACTAATTTTCTTAAAGAATATGTGCAATACATAATTTATATCAAAAGTACACTTTTGTAGTCATTCAACTTTTACAATTATAGATGGGTTTTCAAAACTTGTTGAGTTTTACGATAGTAACAGAAAGTGATAAATATTCTGGAAACTGTTTTTTTTCCATTCAATTGTTCTAAAATGTTGATAAATTTATAGGGTTTCAATCCCTCAGAAGTTAATTCTGCAACTTTCTGATACACAAGTAAAACTGGTATCAAGAGTTGTCTTAATTGTCATGAATCATTTTTTGTTTCCGGATATTTTTTTACCTCCCTTAGGTTTTAACCGATTCTTTTTATGCTGTGAGTCAAGGTGCATTGGCTTGTGAATGTCGTCTAGTCGATAATTTCATTATGGATTTGTTATCGCGTATCCATGACGAGTCAGCTGCCTTGACAACTATTGCTGAGCGCAGTTTGATGCGTCAACTTGATGGTGGTTGTTCTATCCCGATTGGTGTGCGCAGTGATCTTGTTGTAAAAGGAGATTTGAACTATTATCAACTTACTCTTCATGCAAATATACTCAGTGTTGATGGTGGGAGGAGTATAGAAAGATCTGCCTCTGTTGTTTTTCCAGATAGAATGCCCATAAATGATTGTGTGGAGTCAAGCTGCAAATTAGTGCAAAAATCGGGCAGTTATGATGACGTGAGCACAAATACACCAATAATCGAAAATAAGGGGACCTCACTAACCTCTCCTACTAAGGTAAGTTGTTTACATTTCTCCTTTGCAGAAATAAACTGTTCATCCTTTTTTATTCCAGTATAAAAATTGAATTATTCATATATATATATATATATATATATATATATATATATATATATATATATATATATATACTGAAAGTCAAGCTGTTTATCATTAGCCGAAAGACTTTTTGAAGGTGATTTTCACGAATTAACATTAGGACTCAAACCAATGTATGATAGGATTTATGCAGAATATGTCCGAGGTTAGCATTTTGTAAACATAATTTGGGTCAGTATACTAAAGAACTGGAGACAGTTGTGTGTATTAGATTACTAGTCTGGTAAGATATGCAAACCCAAAATACTACTTACGAGAAGGGAAACCAAATCGATATATAGTAAATATATGGTTAACTTTCAGTACAGTCTCGTTACATTACTATATGCACTTTTAATCCATTTTTACTGTGACTGTGTCTAAAGACAATCACTTAGTTCATAAATCCTAATCGTTGAAACTAATATATGACCGATTTACCTAAGGTCCATTTTCAATTCCATTGAAGTTATCGTCAACGTGGCTTTCATTACAAAAGCGGACTTTTATCTGCAGTTAACGAGGCAGGAAAAAAGAGTGAAAGTAGTTTCGTTCTCTGTATTGAAGTCGGAGTTATGAATGTGTTAGTGGAGTGCACGAACATATAACTTTTATTGTTCTTGATCATTTCGATTATACAGATATAGATTGTGACCACGTGGTTTGGACTAGTAACTCAAAATTTATGAGTTCTTCATGCCATGAAGTTAGGTAAAACGTTTTTGAATGGCTCACAGTGTTTTTTAATTATTGTTACAATTAACTCATATCACTTCCTATTTTGTGTTTCTACTTTGTCACAAGGATGAGTTAAAAGCAGCATTGGATGCAACATCTATATTTATGGGAGTTATAGTTACTCCATCATCCGAAATGTCCCGTCTCAGAATGGCTATTGCTCAAAGTTTGGGTTGCGCAGTAGCAAAAAGTCTACTTCTATCCGGTGCTGATGAAATTCTTTATGAAATACGTTCCCAATCTAGTGGGTGAAATAGATTCTCGTGAATAGATATTAGTTTTCTTTAAATGACAATCCTTGCATTTTGTTTTGGTTCTTTCATAATTTATGCTCTCCATATTGTTTATCTTTAGGTTTTTCATAGCAAAGTAGATTTGTCGTGTTTACATGTAAATTGTTTATTAAAGTTGCCCCATGAATTGTAAATACTAACATTGTGAAAATAAACATTTGCAATTAAAATAGATGTAGTTATTTGAGCAATCTTAATATTTTAATTGTTCTAAACATATGTTTCTCATTTTGATGCTCCAAATTACTGTTATATTATTATTGGGTGTTTAAAATGCTCCGATATAAATCCCCTTAAAACATGTTTTGCGTTTCCAAATGCACAACCTTAAGTGGCTTTACAATAATTTGTCGGCCATAGACTCTAATTTATCTGAAGTTTTTTTATGATGATCCTATATCTGTGACTTCCGTCGAAGTATTATCCCTGACATAAGGTGATATGATGAGTAGTAGTCAGTAGAGAGATATATTGCTGTTTAACGCTCATACGCTAAACTAATAGCTGTATTTTTGTGATAGTTAACAAAATAACTTATTATATTCCATATGTAAAATTAACATTTTGTATTGTTTGTCGCGTTCTTTCTACTACATCAGTTTAAGCTTGGCAAACAGAACTTGTAGGTTTATTCCACTGTTCGATATGCCCCGTTACTTTGTTTTCAAAATGACCTATAGAAATCCTAAATATGTTACTGATTGTAAGAGTTGAGAATAATATCAAACATAACAAAGCCATTGTCCACTATTTATTTCATAATAATCGCAAACCATAAACAAATCAGTCTTTTGATTGGTGTAGATTGTTTTCATTCACTCATATCTTCAATGGAATAGTCCAGCTGGTCTTTTATTTTATTTAACTAACGTAAAAGAACTGTTTTGTTGATTAGTCACCGGAGAAACATCGTATTTTGATACCTGTACGTACACAAGTTACTCATTCCTAGGATTTTGTAATCGTGCGGTCATATTATCACCCATCTAAACAGACATTTTTGACCATCGATTAAACTCATCATTCTGCAGTATGGTTGTTTGAATGTTCCGATCCCTCTATATAGTATTTACTGGTTTATCTAGTTCATTGGATTCATGACCAACCTATGCTCTCTTTGAAATTCATAGTGGAACTAGTATTAAATTCATTTACTGGAGAACAAACTTTAAAGTTATATGTCTTACTAAAGAGTAGGTTTTTTTTATTTTAGAAACATTGGTTCAGTCTTAAAAGTAAGTTCTTGATTGTGGATATTTTACTATGTAAAGAATGGTATATGGATAATCCTATCTCCTGTGATTAGAAAATTTTAAAATTTGCTATCAAAATAAATTCATTTTATTTTCAATATTTCACGTTAACTCTTGATCTGTTTTTAGTGTCCCATCCTAAGTAAATAGCTAAATTTTACTTTTTTTTACGGTTTTCGTTACCGTGATAAATAGCATATTTCTGCCTAACTATTCATCGGTCTTATTCTAGAAAAAAACATGTAGTATATGTCCAAACTAGTTCTGTAACCCATCTCGTAGGTATTCAAATGTGCATTGTGATACAGACAGCTCATTACAATAAAAAGCTTATGCTTGATAAAGAGCATTAATTGATGGGTAGTAGCAAGGTATAATGTGACTAAACCAAAAAGAGACATCATTCCGCAGTCATTGACTATTGTTCTGAGCCACATTAGTAAATGCAGACTACCTGGTTACAATTCACACGGTGATCGCAGCCAGTGATTGAAGACTTTGATATGGTTCAAAATTGATTATGGTGGTATAGATGCACTCACTCTAAATCCAGCATTCCTTTTTGCCTGCCTTTTAATTCTGTCTTTTCTTACCATATTCTCAGTATTGATTCTTTTTTTCATTAGGATAACTACATTATTTCTACCCCCTTGCTATTCATGTTAATTTTTCCTCCTCGTGCCATAATGGTATACAAACTTAGGCCACCAAATATTTGTGCTAGGATTTACGTTGGTTATGAATTACTAATTGGATTAAAACTATTGTTAGACTTGACCAGTCACATAAAAGGCTTTCCAACATCTCTTATGATCATTACTAGCGTCTAGGTTTACTGTGTAACTGACGAATCACAGATTGTCCAAGTTGTTGAAAATGATTAATGTAACCCGTAAATCTTAACCACATATTTGATACACTACTCATTATTAGTTATTAGTGACTGAAACGCACGGGTTACTTCTGTACTTTCATATGAACAGTCGAAAAGCGTTTGATGACTTCTGGTGTATTATTTTTTCGGGTAAATTATTTTGTTATGACTTACTCATGTCATAAATCCAATTCTTAGTCATTATGTACTCTAGTGTTGTTGACCTTCAGTGCCAAGAAAATCCTATGGTCATCACTATAAGTTTATTTAGCCCTACGGATTACCTGAATCTAAACTCCGTTTTTGGCTATCATAATTATTTTTCTCAGTTGTAGTCATAATGCGTACTTTGATGCAAACTATCAACATACACGCAACTCACAAAACCTCATCACATGTACGGTATGATTTTATGTTTTTAAGCACAATAAGCGTGTTAGCTAATGGCAGATTTTCACACTGATAGAAGTCCGTAATCTTAAATAGATGCTAATATTTATGATCATTCTAGTTTATAATTATTCTCAGATACTTTTGTATGTCCTAGACCTTTAAATGTATGCATTGCTAGTTGCGTTATTTGTTCGCCCCTATTTGATTGCTTGCTTGATTGATTCGTTAGCTCTTACACATTTTATGTAGTTCAATATTTCGGACAGACTATAAACGGTTTAAGTTTTTAAACATCTCTGAAAACCTATAGTGTGAACTCAGGTAACGCTTATGACCAATACTTAAAAGAATATTAGACAAAATAGTCATTTATGGTCAAGTCTGGCTGACATATGAAACTCATTGTTCTTACACTTGTATCATATCTTCACAAAATTAGTAGCACAACGTTCTTATTGCAGCAGTATGATAATGTGAATTGATTTATTTATACTAGTGTAGTCATGAAATGATGCACTATATTTCTAACGCTAGTAAAGTTCCATAACCTATATTGACTGACAAAAATATTGAATATATTTAACTCATTTCTAAGTACTTTGTTTATTATTGTTTAGTTATTTTGATTTTAATGAGTGATATGTTGGCAAGTAGTCTTGATATTTTCTAACTACACTTGTTTAGGTTGACTTTTACATGTATAGATGTCGGGGTAAATATTAAACTAAGTTGAGCTTTCTGAATGGTCCTATCTGCAGTTATTTGTATTCTTGTTGTGTAATTACTTGTAAGCTTTTGTTGAACTCATAAACTATTCTTGTGTTTTACGTTTCCCAATTTATCGTTACTTTATTACTGACCTATCACTCTGTCCTCTTCCACTTATGGCGTAGTTGTGCCCATGTAATAATTTCTTAATCCTATTGATATGTGATCAGGATTTCGCCCTATATGAGTGATTTGAACTGTATGATCAAAAGCTTTCTGTTTGTTGAGTTGTGCTCCATTCTGACTATCGGGCGAGCAAGGGTGGGAAACTGGATTTTGTACCAGTAGTCATTTAGTGTTACTTTTGGTTGTTATCTGACTGTTAGCGTGTCACTCGTACCAGATGTACAGTCTGGGCGAGCTAATCAATGCTATAGCTTTCTGTCTTAAGGTCCGGCCTCACGGTCCCCAAGTAAACTAAACAAAGTCATAGGTTTATTCTCATCGACAAATCAGTATATATTACTTACATGGGATTATTAATATTAGGTTGCTGAATGTAACCAATAAGAAGCCGTGGATAACCTAAATTTCGTCCAAGTTGGTGCTTATTATCAATGAGTGCCTGGAAACTTCAAGGAACTAGTGTTTCTAGTGGGCTTGTAGCCCGTATCACTCAACTGCAGTTTCAGGTGTTACTACTGAGTATTCAGGCCACAACTGACCTTTCATAAGACTACAACTCAACCACCCTACATATATATATATATATATATATATATATATATATATATCGTATGTATGGTTGAATAAATAGTACTCGAACCTGCACCCGGTTGTTTAATTGCTATAGCGCTGACTTCCTGTTCAATATCTGCATAACTGACCCTATACAGACTCTCTGTTGTTCTACGTAAATGGTCATAATATTTCATAGCTCATATTCATAGTGATTACTATTATCATTATTAGTTACTTTGTCGGTTGATCATCGACTTCGCAGACTATTTTTTACGAATATTCTTTTCTGTATGCATAAATAATTTCGGTTTAATACTGGTTAGACATATATTGATTTTTTCATACTTAGTATTTATCAAAACTTACATTCAGTTATATTGTGTGTTTTTGACCACATATTTATGAACAATATAGCATAATCGCATATGGACCATCAAAAGTCCAAGAAAAAACGCAAAGCTTACTACCGAAAATGTGCTTTTGGTTCAAAAAAATCACGTCCGAATGATCCAAACGATAGTATGTCGTGCATTCCAAAAAATTTACAGCCAGGCATGACCGGTTATATACTAACTTACAATCAACAGCAACGGTTAGCACATATTGAGACTTATCGTTTGTTAAATCATACTTTAGATGAGATTTCTGTTGAAAAGGATGGAAGTGAGTCATATAAAAATAACAGTCCTGTAAATACAAATAATGAATTAGTTGGTTCCAAACCTTCTAATATGGTTAGTGATGAAAAGAATAGTGATACTGATGACTTATACTCACAGTTGCTTCGTGAAAATTGTTCAAACTATCCTGCCAATTCGAAAAACAAATTTGTTTTCTGTTCTGTAAAGACGCATGTCAGTAACTGTTCTTTTATTCTTCATCAGACTCATTTACTTTGTGCGGCAGAACTTTGTAATCGTGTATTCGAAAGACTACTGTCGACTTCCAATGCAGAGTCTCGTTATGTTCTTCGTTTGATGCCTGTTGTAGACACATGTCGGTCAGATTTGCCGTCACTCGAAAATTGTGTGCTAAAAGCGTGGTCAAACTTCCTTGGTCTAGCATCATGTAAAATTAATACAAAATGTTCTAAAGTTGAGGTACCTCCAGACCAGTCAAGTGATGGCGAGAACGCAAATAATGATAACGAGTCCTCAACTATACACGTCCCAAAGCAAATTGCTTGTGAATCTACATTGAATGGATCGAAGACGTTTATGATTATGTTCAAATCTCGTGGTTTCAAAGCTATTACGCGTGGTGATGCTATACGCCGTACAGTGGAAGCAATCAAATCAATTGATTCATCTTGGAATATATGCAATTCATCGCCTTCAGTTGTTATCTCAATAACTGTTCTGTGTAAGGTGACTTGTGTCAGTTTGTTGGAAAATTTCTTCAAATATCGTAAATACAATATAGCAGAAGTTTGCTCACCATCACCTAAATGTGATTGTACAAATAACATAAAAAATGACGAATCCAAATAAAATTTATTTTTCAATGCACTTCTCTTTTCTGTTCTATCGAGTATTAGAGTTGGTACATGTTTTTCACGTTAAGATTATACGAGTGATTTTAACCTACTTCAAATCATTCACTATTCTTGGCAAGGTATTCGGGTTAGTAATATAGTCCCTGTAGCACTAGGTCAATTATTATGCAGTTGATTTTTTCTAGGTTGTTTTTAGAAAAACGATAGGTATTTCTTTCTGTGTGGCTACTTTTATTCAAATGGGTGGCAGGTTCACTAAGTCCTGGATATCATACTAGAAGTAGTTTGGACTCAATATATATTGATTTGGTCTCCGAATTTTTGTTGGGATACTTAGTATTCTGCATAGCACTCTGGAGTTGAACACATGATATATTTCGTAAACTTGATGAAAAACAGTATACCAGTTGCGATTCTACTCATCCCACTTTACGCGTATTGATGCACGTAGGACAACAAACTGTTCTAGCTGAGTGTCGCGAAATTCTCGATACTGATATACCGTATCGCTGTTACATTACCTAGGATCTATGTAAAGGACTCTGAACCTCTTCTTCATCTTTCAGTATGCAAAGTACGTTTTTTATATATTCGTTCAATGACTTACGGTTGTGTTGACTAGACCTGAGAGAAAATAGGGTCTTTACTAACAGTTCTTTGTGTGTTGTTGGACCATGGGAATTGTTCATTTAAAGACAAATGGTGTCGAGTTGACGCCCGTTTTATCTGCTTCTCTGTTCAAACAAATTGGATTATAGGTAACATCAGGCATCCCTGCTATCAATAAACCAGTAACCTACTCCGTTAGACAAACCTTGGCAAACATGAATCATGTTAGGAATATGTTGTACTTTCAATTGTGTTAAATAATGGCGACTACTGTAATGTTATGAGATATTTTGATAGGCCTCAGAGTAATTATTGCTACTTAACAGACTGGAAGCCAGCTGACTGTTAGGACCAACTACAATAGACTAAAACACCACAGGCAAAAATAATCGAATAGGTGACCCGAATTTGTCAAGGACATTGTAACTAAATTTTTGTGCTGAAATCATTTCCGGTTTCATCACCTACATAGTTGAATAATTTATTTTCAACAATTGGACGATGTTTTCTTACTATCTTTTCAAAGATTCAGTATGATAGGGAAAGGGGTGAGTCCATCTACTCACGCCAGCTGTTGCTTTTGTAGAGCGACTGCCGGGCCTATGCCTTGGTAGAGGAGGTGGTCTGAGTAGGGGTCAGAAACCCCATCCCGTATAAAACATCCTTGCTACAAAAACACTAACCACAATCAACAGCCTAAACCATTTAAACTCTGTCCTGGAAGTTGAAGGAGTTATGGCGCCTCATGCTGAAGACCGAGACCCTTCTGAAATCGCAAGGCTCATACCTCTTCTAGCAGCAACAGCTAAAGGGGCCCCCCACTAGAAAGGATATACAATGTCGATACGTAGCGGTTCCGTTCGTGGGACTGATCGGCAGACGTGCGATTGTAAGACGAAGGCATTGGCAGAACAGGAAGTGATAGTTGTCACCAAAGGTCTTTTACGTAGTATGGTACCAGGAGAAACGTGTTGTATTTGTTGCTTGGGTTAGCGTGCAAAACCAGAGTTGTTTGTATCCAGAATCTGAATATTGCGTTCGTAGGAGTCCAGACCATAAAACGCTTCAGACGTAGGACGGAACCACATCGAGCCAAGAAACTAGGAGAGACAATAATAACCAAGTTCGAGACCAAACGTATTTGGAGCCAGGAAACATCGACTGAGTGCGCTGACAGGAGAGTGGGTGATCAGGCCAGCTTTCTCCAATGTTAACTGAATTCGATTGTACCAATAGGGCGGCGGTCGGAGGCGTGGGCTCAGGATAAAGAAAATAGTGTAGCATTCATGTAGTATAGGAGTAGACTCCTATGCCACATCCGTTGTTGATTGAGAAGTTAGTCGCGAAAGCGTACGGGTAGGCATACTCGGCGACCAGAACGTGAGACTGCGATCTCATTCGAAGTTCAGGATGGCGTGGTCTGTTGATCTGGAAGTGAGTCTGAAGTCTCATCGGTAGATGGTGCAGGTGACATGTGCTGTTGACTGTTATGTGAGAATGAGGTTGCTGATGTATCTAGCGTGGAATACGAAGTAGATGTAGAGATCCCGCTGGAAGGTTTGGTGAGCCTAGCATTGGGTCTCAGTTTATCAGGTAGGGTACTGTTGTAGTGTCGTGATTCGTTAATCTATAACCGTTATAATACCAATCTTAACGGTGCATGAAATCAGAAGGCAAAGAGAAGAAGCAACTAAAGTTTTATTGTCAGATAACTCAGGCCAGAAAGTTGCAAGCACATGAGCAAATATCAGCGAGCAGGCAATTCATAGTCGAGTTGAATAAAGGCACATCAAAACAAAAAAAGGCTGATAATAGGATTTGCGTGCATACCTGTTACTTACTTACGCCTGTTACCCCTCGTCGAGGAGCATAGGCCGCTCAACAGCATTCTCCATCCAACTCTGTCCTGAGCCTTGCTTTCCAGTTAACATTCATCCTTTTCATATTTGCTTCTATTTCCCGGCGTAGTGTTCTTTGGCCTTCCCCTTTTCCGCTTCCCTTCCGGATTCCAAGTTAGGGATTGAGTCGTGATGCACATTGGTGATTTCCTTAATCTATGTCCTATCCACTTCCAACGTCTTTTCCTAATTTCCTCTTCAGCTGGAAGCTGATTTGTCCTCTCCTATAAAACGCTGTTGCTGATAGTATCCCGCCAATGGATGTTGAGTATTTTGCGTAGACAACTATTTATAAATACTTCTATCTTCCTGATGATGGTCGTAGTAGTTTGTAGTATCAGTTTATATGTTAAGCCCATATACTTTATTCTAGTTACTGGCCAAGCCAATTCGCCTATCCATTATGAGTCATATTTTGATCTTGTTAATCATTCGCTTATTAACCTTGACTATACTTTTATATGAGCATATATGTGTACACTTCGTATCTTATTCATCGTATGTCTGTCACTCATTTTTGTCCGACTATAAATATTGAGTAATGCTTGCCCATAGCGAGTTGGTTTCCCAGCCATCTCCAATACGCATCATCTTTCGCCTCGCTCTCTCGCTTGCCGCTCACTCGCTCGTTCATATTCGCTCAGGTGTTGTTAACTTTCGAACCTGAGTTATTCGACAAAAAACTGTAGTTGCTGCTATCCTTTGTCTTCTGATTCTACGCACCGTTAAGATTAGAATTATAACGGTTATCGAAGTAAACGATTAAGAAATTGCGGCACTACAGAATTGGAGAATTTGCCGTACGAGCACAACGCTACAGAATTGGATACCTCGCCGAACGAGCACGACGCAACCGAATTGGATGCCTCGCCGAACAAACATGGACCAGAATCGACAACCTCCACGTACGAAGTCACTACATAATCGGCGACCGCAACGAGCGAACACAAACCAAAAATGGAACCGCCGACGACATATTTCGTTATGATTCGAATAATCATCATATGCTCATTATTACAATAATGTCATATCATCATCTAACGTGGAATTATTATTTTTGTTCGTATTAACGCTAAACGATGACATGTACGCAGTCAGATCACCAATCAAAAAAATTATATGGACATTACACGTTATGATATTCGAAACTCATTGGATTATTTTTATTATCCAATGACGTGCAATTTTTCTGATTCAAGTGAGTTCGTTCCAATTTTTTTCATGTCACTTTCGGTCTAATATTAAACTCTATCATAGACATAAGTTTGGAGTCATACTCCCGATAGTAGGAACTTATGTTCTCGATACAACTAATATTCATTCATCTCATTGGTACGCAGCAATCGTCGTTTCCTACACTTTCAGTGACAACCTAAACCGAACTTCCGCAATTTTGGTTTCACGCGCTGATCCATACTTTAATGTCTATGCACAAATCAAGTATTTGACGCCGCATTATCAGCCGATTAGTAATGATTATGTTCATATTATCTATTCATTCACATGTACAACTGAATGCTGCATCATTCATTACTCAAACTCTATTCGATTACTGCAATTAATTTACTATTTCATTGCACTGTACACCAGAACATAGAGTTTAGAGCCTGTCTCTCAAAGATACACTCTTGTTCGTCACATTCAAGTCAGTCTCACTCGCCGTCATCGATGATCATGTGTATTGGTATTTTTTATCATGCCTTAGTACTGTTTCGGAACAAACGAGGTTGAGCGCATATCCCTCTAACTACACAAACCACGCTAGGCTTCTAGACCAAAAAGGAATACGACTCCGCATATCTCGTCTCAGCAGTCACTATCCTGTTCCTTTGGTCATTCTACTAATACATATTTAACGATAACTCAACGCAAGCGACAACGTGCACTGACTTCGCATTTTGTTATCATTATCAGTACAGCAACGAATATCACCCATTGATGCAGTTATCATCATACGGCTGGATTGTTTTTATCCCACATAAACTCCAATCATATAAATTCCAGTACACTCGTCACTAATCCACGCTATTTATTCTATTGCGGCTTGTCAGAACATATTTCACTGTTCTTTATCTTCACATTCAGTCATCATCACAGACCAATTTCTGTCATACTCATAAACAATGTATTACGCTATTTTCACGATATTTCGAATCGCTCATATGAACGTCTTATTTTATTGTTCAAACAGTCACGACATAAATGTATGTTGGATTTTTGTACACTTACTAATTTACTCATAATTACATGGTAACGATTCCATTTCTGTCCTCATTTTAAGAATATTCATGTACCTTTTTACATAAGTATGACACTTTCGTATAATACGCTCACTCCTCACATGACACTGTAATTTATCGGGTATTGTACAATTTTTTCCCTACATGTTAACCCTATTTACATACCACTTCAGTGTTATTTTTCGAAAACATACATTTTTTTATAAATGTGCTATTTTCTACAAGGGGGCTATGTAGTATCAGTTTATATGTATAGTGACATTTATGTCTAGTGATTTCTTGTAACAACAAATTAAAGGTCACATATTTTT